AGTGCTGCAAAACTTTTCTGGATTTTTTCCCATTTCTCTACATCTTTCTTGAAATGTGGAACCCAGAATTAGACACAGTACTCCAGCAGAGGCCTATTCAATGCAGAGTAAATGGAAGAATTATTTTTCACGTCTTGCTTACAATACAGAAAGTAATGGGCTTAAACTGCAGCAAAGGAGGGTTAGGTTGGACATTAGGCAAAACTTCCTAACTGTCAGGATGGTTAAATACTGCAATAAATTGCCTAGGGAGGTTGTGGAATTTCCATCACTGGAGATATTTAAGAGCAAGTTGGATAAACATCTCTCAGGGATGATCTAGATGGTTCTTGGGCCTGCTGTGAGGGCAGGAGACTGGAATTTATGACTTCTCAAGATCCCTTCCCATTCTAGTTGTCTATGATTCTATTCGATATAAATATTTGGGCTTGGTCTGGAGTCTTGACTCTAGGGCCCTGCAGGATGGGAACACAAATGCCTACATCACATTTAGACAGTTCCACAAGCCTGAATCTACTACCATCACGGGCCAGTGACAGGTGGTTTATCTGCAGTATATCATGCCCTCTGTGCATCTGTTTCCCCATCCATAAAACAGGCTCAATGGTATTTTGTCAATTATGGCAGGACTGGAAGCAGAACACTGAGAGGTTACATTGGCGGGCGGTTGTTATATGGATCAGATGGTGTCAATCTCGGATCCTGCTTAGGCAACATTTAATGCTGATGTCGACATCCATTAACTTTGTTTACTAAACTGTCTCATTATCCGTTGTGTGTCAGGATTTCTTTAGGGTGTGGTGGAATAGGACAGATGGGCTGAAAACCTTCCTTTGGGCATGGAAAACACATGATTGGACAGATGGGCTCCAAGAAGTTGCCTACAGGCCTGGAGCATGTGGGACAAGAAAGAGGGGGAGAAACATCCTTTCCTGTCTTCACAGCCAAATGTAAAAGCCAATAGAGAACACTGTGGGCAAAGTGAAGAATTTGTATCCAGTTATTTCCTTTAGAGCACACTGAGGATCTTTCTCCAGAAGATGTTATCCAAAGAATCTACAGGTATAAATACCTGTTTGGCTATTAATGCTAGCATTACTCCCTTGCTATATGTTGAAGGGGAGTTTATAAACCAATGATTCACATCATATTTCTAAATAGGTGTTTTAGGTAGCAGAGCACACATTTTCCTAACATATACATTTAAACTGCAAAAAAGGGGGATAAAAAATATCAAGAATATGTAAAGGTACACTGACCTCAATTGTTACCTTTAAAGCCTTTTTTTCACAGCAAAATTCGAGGCAATAAAATATCTTTTCCACTAAAGCTGTATTAACTAGCCAGTCCTTTGGGATTAAGAACAAAGAAATCCCAGGGCGGATTTCTCAGGAATGTGATTACTCAAATACATTCTCATTTTACAGTTTATAAAACTAATCTTGAGAAAGGTCAGAAAGTGACCAACACACTGATCTGAGTGTCCAAAATATCCCTGTAAGTAAATAAAATTCCAGACTTTATGCAGTGTTATATTTGAAGAGAATTAGGAGACTAATTACTTTTCTGGGGAAAGGCATTTCACTCTTCATTGTGAAAAATATGTAGCAGACCTACGGACACTGGGGACATTTTTTGGCATAACTAGCACCTGATGGCATATTCCCCCTGAGTTCCTGACACTCCTCTATTCTGAGGTATGAGAACATGCCAGCTAGGCCAGGTGTATATCAGATTAGGATTTCTATGCCTTGTGGAAATATTTAGTTGCCTTCTTGAGTTGGTGTTACATGCCCACCCATGCCTCTTCATTGACTTCAATGTTAAGTACACAATGTTAGGCACTAATCCCACATCCAGGATAACTCAGTCCCTGCACTGAAGCTCTTATAATCCAAGAAAACAGGTACCATTTACAGAGTGAAGAGGTGGATACGATCCACATGTTTGATTTTTAAACACTTTGGCCACATCTAGACTGCATGCCTTTTTTGATGCCTCTGTCAAAAGAGCGCCTAGACTGCAACCACTTCTTTCAAAAAAGCAATCCGCTTTTTCGAAAGAGAGCACCCAGGCAGTCTGGATGCTCTCTTTCGAAGAAGCCCTGTTTGCATTCAAAAACACCTTTTTTCAAAAGATTACTTTCGAAAAAAGGCGGCCTTCCTTGTAAAATGAGGCTTACTGCTGTTGACAAAACCGCCGTGTTGTGTCGATTTACTATTGACAGAACGTGGCGGAAGTCTAGACGCAGGTATAGTTATTTTTGAAAAAAGGCCACTTTTTCGAAAAAACCCTGTAGTCTAGACACAACCATTGTGTAAAGTCCAGCCCCAGTGAAATCAATGGGAGTTTCACCCTTGACTTCAGTGGGGCCAGCTTTTAATCATTTCTATACATTTAATCATGTGGTATACATTATCTGTATTAGATCACCTCCTCAACCTATGCATTCTAAATTGACCTATTTATTGTATGCACTAAAGGGGAAGCAGTGACCTATTTGATTATCAGGCCTAGCATCATCATGAAATATTTCATAGTATCTATTAATTCTTTTTTTTTTTCAAGTCAAAAACAAAATCCCAGCTTTCAGAACATTTTCTGGCCATTATTTCTCTCTTACCAACTTTCAGTTCACCGCCTGCAACCACTATACAAGTGGCACTAAGGACATTGCTGGAGTTGACTGGGAATTCCAGAGTCCCCAGCACATAGAGGCCTCTCAGAGGAGGAAGAGTTGTATCCACCAAGATGGTCCTGTCTGAGAGAGAGAGAGAGAGAGGGAGAAATATATCAATATACCAACACTGGGATATGCAGATGGAAAATGAGGATAAAGCTCTGTCAGTCATGGTCACTTAATCATTGGAACAATTTATCACACATTCTACACCACTAGCCATTTTTTTAAATGAGAGATTGGATAATTTTTAAAAAGAAATCCGTTAGAAAAGAACAGGTTACCCCGAGACAGATGGGGTAGGGTGCCTTCATTTTAGCTACTCGTTCCATCTTTGACTCCCCCCCCCCCCACCAAACTTGGGATCTGAGTGAACAAAAATTAACCATATGGACACCATTTTATCTTAGTATGTAAACACCTTTATCAATTGCATCACATTACTAAATTAGGGCTTAAAGAATGAACACCCTTATAATGCATAATCATAACCATGTGATGAATATAATTATATCTACCCATTTACTGTTTACAGTTTTTTAGTTGATGTAAGCAATTCTCACATCACAAAACTCCTTAAATCAGCAACTTACAAGGGGGAAAGGAGATGTGTCCCTGAATGTATACTTAGAGTGAATGAGAATGGATAAGGGGGTAAGAAGATAGCATTGTTAACACATAGAGCATTCATTAAAAGTTACGTCTATCCTGAGCAAGCAGGAAAGGCAGAATCAAAACAAGTCTATACATCAACAGAAGCACGGTCTGCCTGGACCCGTTACCAAGGTCACAACTACCAAGACCCCTTATATACCCAACAAAATCCTTTAGGAATTCTTTTGGGGAAGTTCTATGGCCTGTGTTCTATCCTAGATGAACACAATGGTCGTAGAATTTAGATGATCACAGTACTAGATGATCACAGAAGTGCCTTCTGACTATGAACCTACGAATCTACTTAGAATTGTAAACACTCTTGGTCTGTAATTATCTGTTGGTTCTTTCTTTGCACAGCGCCCATCAAAATGAGGTCCTGCTAATGCAATACAAATAATAAACAACCATAGCATGTTTAAGGCCTATTGACTTCAACTTGAAGCACAGTCTTAAAAGATCCCTATTCCAAAAAGTACTTAAGTGCATGCTTACATCTTATGGACCTGAATGAAATTTAAGCACATGCTAATGGCTTTGTTGAATTTGGGTCCATGTGAAATCTAACTGTGAACGTGATAGTTAATAATTCAGTTCAGTAAAACAAATCTGGAAATTGAGGTTACAAATCATCCATATCACTTTTTTATTACACACAAGCCAATATGAATCAATAAAGTGAAACAGTAGACCAATGTTAAAACAAGTCTCATATAACTAAGGTGAGGAGATAGCAGGTGTGAAAAATTAGGACACAAGGCTGGAGGATAATAGGCACTTTTATAGGAAAAAGACCCAAGGGACACCACTTTCAACAGACTCTTGCAACATCACATTAGAAATACTGGTTCAATACAGAATCTAAAGGAAGAGTGCTATGTAGTGTATCTTCATCTTCCCAAAAGTACACTAGTCAGGTCCTGTGTGCTTGCGAGACCTGATGGGATCACAGAAAAATTCTCTCTGGTGGAAAAATGAGTATGGAGCATGTAATTCAAGGCCGCACATACTGGAGTTGAATTAAGGTTATATGTGCAACCTACATTCCAACATTTCCTAGCTTTTGAGTGTTTGACGTTACAACCATAATGTTCTTTAAGTGTAGGGTTGTTGCTTTGGGTATTTTTTCCAATTTAAAAACAAACAAACAAACAAAATAAATTCAACCATGTGGAATCATACTGACCTCAACTTGGGTCATCAGCATGGTTCAGACTTGAGAACCATAATAAATCATCTACAAATTGAGCCAATGGAGTAACTAGTAGCCATGGCAGGCTATTATACTCCATCTGAACCAGTCACTACAAGAGCATGAGATACAATTTGACAGTGTGTTTCACAGCAACTTGCTGACAACAGATAATGATGAGACTTACACTTTCTGGATCCAGTTGCAAGTTCTGGAGTGGTGTGTTCTGTAATGGTTGCAATGTCATCTAAAACTGGTCTCCCTCCCCTTCTATGCACTACTCTGCTCCTGGTCCTCCCTGCTCCTACACAACCCCCAAATCCATGAATCTTTACCCACACTTGTATATTCCTATCTGCCCCTCTAGTTGCTGTCTCAGCTTGCTCCATATAAACAGCACCCATCTTTTCCAGAGCCTTCTCCCTTCCTCCTGGACTGACTGCTAGCCTCTGCCCATTCAAACAGCTCTCCATTGCTCCAAAACTTTCTCCCACCGTCTTCTTGTCTCACTGTCTCCCTGTGCCACTGGGGTTGGAGGGCAGAGTACCTAAGTACCTGGGCTGCAGTGAATGTGGAAGATGGTTCTCCCTGAAGGGCAGAGGTGAAAGAAAGTGTGTGGACCTTGGTGCACAGCTCTGGGAAAAGCTGGCTGAGGTGCCACAAAAGCCAGCAGGGAGTTATTTAAAGAGCTGGAAGGGACCCGGGTTGCAATAGGACAGTACCTCTCAGAAATTTTAAATTACTTTCATCGCTGCCGAAGGGCCTGACCCTGCCTCTTTTATCTGACTTCAGCATAGACCAGATGAAGATCACAAGCCACTTCTCTCTGGGCCAGCGAGCAGCTGCCTTTTTCACCACCCTCATTTGTGTGGGTGCCTACAGATCCTTGTCATGAGGTTGCTGTGCTGGTCAGTACATCCCAGGCAAGTTGAGCTTGGTGAGAGGAAGATATTGGAGCTACTTCTGTACCTGAGAGTGATCCAGCATCCACCATCTCTTTTTACCTCCCTCCCACCTGACCACACTGACCAGCTAAGGACCACCTGGAATCTCCCACAGGAACAGATAGTCAGGGAAACAGCTCTGGGATTTCTCCACCACAAATGCAGCATGGCGTTGTTGAGCCTTGTCTTCTGGGCCTTGGTCTTGCTGGGCAGACTGAATCAATGGCACATAGGCAAACCCTGCTGTCTGCATGTTGGTGTCCAAGTGTTTTGCCTAGAGCGTGCGCATGTGTTTGAGTATGAGGCCCACATGTTGATATTTCAGTCCCTGCAATGGGATCCTCACTAGGACTCTCAGGTCTACCAGGGTGACTCATAGCTATGGTGGAACCTATAGTCCACCTAGCCCAAGCATCATGAGCAGCACTTTGTGATGTGCCTCAACTATGCTGCCAACAGAGGGTGCCCCCATATTTTGTTGGAGCGAGTTAGAGGATCCTCCTTCCCTGTAGTCTCATGTCTGGCCCTCCCCTGAGTAAATGGGCCTGAACAAACACTGCTTCTCTTTGCCCCCAGTAGGGTGGGGTACTGATAGCTTCTCTCAGTGAAGGGTTGGCCTGGTGGCTGGTTTGCAATTAGAAACTTTCTAGCCCTTTTCCCTGGAGTTGACCTGGTTGCCAATAAGACCTGGGGGTGAGGAGGGTTGGCTGAAATGGGAGGAGGGGGTTAGAAATTTTCAGACCCATTCTCTGGGGTTGTCCTGGTGGCCAGCTAGAGCTGGAGTTGACCTGGTAGCCATTTGGAACTGGGGTTGACTTGACAGCCTCTCAGAGATGGGGTTAGTCTGGGGTGGCCATTCAAAACTGAAGTTGATCCAGTGGCTAGACAAAGCTAAGGTAGACTTGGTGCCTGGTTGGAGCTTGGAATGACCTGGTGGCCAGTTCAGAGCTTGGATTGACCTGGTGGCTAATTGGGAGCTGGGCTTGACCTGGTGGTTGGTCAGAGCTGGAATTGACCAGGCAGCTGATCTGAGCCAGAGTGGATCTGGTGACTGGTTGGAACCAGGGCTATCCTGGAAATTTTCTGCCCGTTTCCATGGGGTTGACCTGATGCCCTCCCTGACTTAGCCTGAGACCATGTGTTGGAAAAATGATTGAGCCCAGCTGGAGACAGACTGTGACACTTGGGCAAGTGGCCCAGGGCTCACAGTGCCCAGAAGCAGAAAGGGACAGCCTCTCAGAACCATGTCACATACTACAGGACTAGAATAGCGACATGCAATGACAAGGATCCGCAGGCACCTGCACACATGAGGAAGGTGAAAAGGGGAGTTGCCCACTGGCCCAGGGAGGGAAAGGTGACCTGTGAGCCCTACCTGGTCCATGCTACAGTCGGGTAAGAGAGGCAGAGTCAGGTCCTTTGAGAGAAACAACTTCCCCATTCACCACAGCCCATGTACTCAGTCCCCTGGCCTCCAGTGGTTTCCAATCACATCCTGTTCTGTACTCACTGAGCTCTAGGACTTGTAGGTTCCTGCAAAGAATCAGATGGAGGACATGTGTACACTAGGAACCTATTTCAAAATAACTAAGATCAATTTAATAACTCCTGGAATAACAAAATCGAAATAGCATGTCCACATTGCAGGGAAGCCGCAAAATTAGTCTGAGGCAGGCTCGGTTAATATGGACATGCTACCTCAACTTAGAGCCCCAGGAAGCACTGGGGAGCAATTAGTTCAAATTACTCTGGGGAGTTATTATTTTGAAATAGCAGCACTGGAGCACCCACACTACTGCTATTTCGAAATAACTATTTTGAAATTAGCGTTATTCCCTGAGAAAAGCAGGAGTACAGATTTCGGAATGAGTAGCCTCTTATTTCGAAATAATGAGCTTGGTAGTGTGGACTCTCCACTTATTAGTTCAACCTACAAGGGGATATTTTGAAATAAAACCATAGTGTAGACCAGGACTTAAGGGTCAGAGTCTCCCTGGAACAGCCAAGCCAACCCCAATTATTCAAATACCATGAGACAGACCCACAACCTGTGAGATTGGGTCAAAATCATGAGATTTTTCTTTCTTTAAAAAGGGGTATTGCGTTTTTGGCTTGTTTAACTCTCCTTCCCTCCCTCGGCTGTGTGTAAGTGTATGAGAGAGAGACAGGGAGTAATCTGTGCCCCCAGGTTTTTTTAACAATTATTTTGACCCATACCACAGGAGCTCTGGGCCCCACTGTATTACTGTGAATCTTGGGGGAGGTCCCTTTAGCCCCCACATTGCTCCTTT